GGAGAGGGAGAGGGAGAGGGAGAGGGAGAGAGAGAGAGAGAGAGAGAGAGAGAGAGAGAGAGAGAGAGAGAGAGAAGAGGTATAAGTGAGCTATCTACATCTTGCCAAGGTGATGGGGAATAGAATGATACGTGTTTCTTTGTGGGCTTACAGATAAAAGCTGGAGCCAGGTAGTCTGCTCTCAATTAAGAACTCCTTTTTAAATCCCTGACTCAGTTGCTAGGCTGGTCAGCTTTTACCCTGTTTGAGCAAATGTTTTGGCATTGTCAACTGGCAGAGCTCTTCTGACCTCGGGAGCAGTAGGCCTAGCCTGAGAGTTAATGCTCATCATCAGGTGAGAGACCCATGGACACAGGTTAGGGTATTTCAGAAGCCTGGCTACTGTCACTTTCTTTTCTCACCTCATTCCACTTCATTCTCCTGGCTACTGGCCAGGGACTAAATGGCCTGTCTAGACAGACTGGCAGGATCACTTCCTAGGAACTCTAAGGGTTCTGAGCTACACTGCTATCCGGGTTAGGCTCAAACTCCTCCCTCCACCCAGGCCAAAGGTGCAAGCCAGGCAGCAGAGGTGTTTCCTCGGGTTCTTCCACAGTGGGATCAAAGCTTCTTGAAAAAGAAGAAGGGATTCTGAAGGAGCACTTCAGGGGATGAATGGGATGCCAGAGAATTAAGTATACCACACATTAACAGAAACATGCTTTTATTAGAAACTGTATCTAGCTGACTGAGAAAACTAAAACAGCTATATAGGAAAAGCTAAAAGCTTTAGAACATTAGAGGGAGCGAAACACAAACTGTACTGCCATATTACAAGATCACTTCCTCAACAACTCCAAAGTAGAGGTTTGAAGAAACAACACAGCACCTGTCGGAAACCTTAATTGAGTTTTTCTCCCATAATCATGGCCAATCCACAGCTAGTTTGAGTATGTGCAAACCTTTTATTCTTTCTGCTAAGATTTGTGTAGACCTATATAAATACCTGATCTTTTTCAAAGAGGTACTTTTATCACTTTTGTAATCTTGGCATAAATATCCTCCTTAAACAGCTTCCTCTTTCCTATTCCCCACTTTTCTCAGCTTGGTCCCCAAGCTATCGTTGAAGTGACCTGAGCTCTTTGCTTATGCTACATCTGCCAGATCTACTCCAAAATAGACAGCAGCCTTCAAGTATGAATGAGCCAGAGATGTTTTCTTTTACATGACGATCATAATTCTACAGAAATGTTTTACTTATCCAGGTGTGGTTGTGCACACCTTTAATCTCATCACTCAGGAGGCAACAGTAGGTTGATCTCTGTGAGTTCAAAGCCAGCCAGGTCTACAGAGTGAGTTCCAGGATAACTGGGCGACATAGTGAGACCATGTCTCAGAAGCAAAACCAGAAATGTCTTACTTAAAAGAAACAGGCTTGAAATATTTCTAGCTTAGATGATAAGATTCTAATTAAGAGAAAAAAATGGCAAGTGTAATCTCCTCTACATCTACAAAGCTAGCTTGAACAAAACATTTGAACGATTAACCTGTAGGATTGCTTTATGAAGTACATATCAATGTCCAGTGCATTTATTAGTTATAGTTAATCATTAAAAAGCAAAGTGAGTATTCCTTCTGTGCTCAACAAAATAACCTACCACCATGAATTTGGCAAGCAACATTTGTGGGTCTAGTAAATAGTACACCTTGTATCTTGGTTTGTATAATAGAAACTATAGAATGAATCGTGTTGTTAGATAGCTAAAATAGATGGTAAGGGAGAAGAGAGGTTTTAGGGAACTCACAGAAAATGCTAGGCTGAAGTTAAAGTATAAAGCAAGAACAACGAGACAACAAGTATTGTCGTGGGCTGCCACTGCCACAAAGAGCAGAAATGCAGATTGCACGTATTTTATCCGTGTATAGAGGTGTGTCTGAGATGACGGTGTTAGGTAGACGCAAGCTCCTACTTGACTGTGACTATGAAAATATTTGACAGATCAGAACTTGGATGTCTTGCTCAGAACATATGCTTTCTTATTTTCCCCATCATTCTCTGAAGTCTTATAAGAATTTGCCCTTGGCCAGGCAGATGGCTCATCTTCCAAGTAGCTAATATTTAAATAGCTATGATCCTGAGATGGCCAAGCAAACATTCCAAAACCAAACGCATTTGTAATATTTTAATTGCAAATATATCTTAGTCCTTGTTTCTTGGCAAAGATGTTTGCTAAAATTTCTAACATCAATTAGAGATTGGCAAAGAATGCTCTTCGAGCATAAAAGGGCACAGTCATCTACTGGAAAGCAGTAGAATCTCCAGGCAGCAAACCTTTGGCAGAGTCATAAAGAATACATTGCGGTCTATGTGCCCAGAGGCTGTGGATACCATTCAGGTTGACCTAACTAACACACTAAGCTAGGAGCTGTTCAGTAATCCCATAACAGTACCCAAAAGAGAAATAAGATTCTACTGCAACATGTTAATTTTACTTCCAGAGACAGATGTGTTGGATTGCAGGATTCCAGACCATGTAGTATTAGAATCATGTTGCCCAAATTCACTTGATGGTAAAAATCACTTGGCATCAGGATGAGCCACCTCATCTTTTGACCAGTACACTTATACAGTGCTGTATACTGAGAAGGAGAAGGATAGCATATCAAAAATTAAGTATTCTGTATTTGTTTTCTGTAATGGAAGTCTAATGAGACAATAAGACATATGCTGAGGACATGGAACCTTAGATTACTGTTGTCACATCTTTTACCACCTCCCACTCCCCTACCCATGTTACCTTATAATACCCACCACTCTCCATACTTGCCCAGTGACCACTGCCATCCCCCAATCCATGGTACTCAGGAAAACTTCCTCTCATCACTCCAACACAAATGCCATTGCTGTCCTCCCTACCTCTAGGGTTGGGCAAAGGCAAAGGAAAGATTGAAGTCAAGTAAACATACTCTGTATCATTTGGTGGAATGTGAATAATCACATAGCGTCTCTGAACCAATAATACTGTTCCTTCTGGGCATGCAAAAATTGAGGGTTCCAGGTCCCATACATGCTCACATGGAAGTGCATTTGTTTTGGAAACACCTTTCCGCCTTGGTGACTGTGGTATTCCACCAAGGAAAGATGATGTACCCTCCTCTGTTAGGGATGGTGCAAAGTCTACAGGGAGGTGTGTCTGGAGCTAGCAGTGGGATATCAAGACTATGTGTGCTCAGTTGCAGACTACAGCCCCTGGGCCCATGTGAAGGCTTGCAGTCAGCCTGCAAACATCTCCATGCCGGAAGGATTGTAGCACTAAATGAGTTTAGAATGATGGGACTTGAAAGCTGCCCTAGAAGAAAGGGAAATGTTTTCTCTTTCAGTATCTTCAACAATACTAATATCCTGGCTTTAGAACAAGGGGTTTCATATATTATTTCCCACTGAACCCCGTTGAAAGTATGTTATCATCCGGAGTGAACATTTTTAAAACGTAAAGATTATCCAGCCATGAGAATTTGGATTCACTAGCCATGTAATACTTCTCAAACATAATTATGAGAACTGTAAAAATATTCTGAAGTTCCATTTTCTCTAGCCCTACCCACAAAATATTCTTATCAAGTCTCTATGAGCCCCCAAATCTGTTTTTATAAGAAACTCAGACTTTCTACCACAGGTGGTTCTCAGCCCATCTCTAAGAGATTCTGAATACTCAGGAGAATAAATACTAGAGCCAGGTAGACTCCGTGTGTGTCTGTGTGTGTGTGTGTGTGTGTGTGTGTGTGTGTGTACCCATATGCCACAGCACACATGTGGAGATTAGACGCCAACGTGCAGGAATCAGTTCTCTCTTTCTTCTATGTGAGTTTCAGACATTAAACTGAGATCATCAGGCTTGGTAGTAAGCACTTTAACCCTCTGTGCCATCTCAGTAGCATGACAGGATATGTCTCTTTAAACCTTAGTTTGCTCATCTGTGAAAGGATAGAGTAATATTTCGTAAATGTTTTGTGTTTTGAGTACCAAACATGTATGAATAGTACAATTATTAGCACCAAATAATCTAGATTGTAGAAATGCTAGTGCTAGTTATATAATTATGTTTTTCTGTATTTTACCATTTTTGAAATATAAAACAATAGCTAAAAAGAGCAAGAGAGGTGATAAGCTAAGTGTGGGAAAGAAGGCAAGAGGCCTGTAACAATTGGGCGAGTCCCTTAGAATTCTATTTAAAAAGCTAGTGCCTCAGTGTCCAGGACACAGTAGCCATTCAGTAAGTTAAATTCAGGCCCAGAGCAACCTTCAAAAGGACTATCTCTGCCCCATACTCAATGAGACCAACACCCTCCTTTGTCTTGCTTAGGAACAGGTTACTTACAACTTAGGCAAAGGGCATTAGCTAGGAGGCTAGTGGGCTTCTGAACAGTTTACTGAATGCTGAGTGCCCTCTAGTGTCCACTTTCTCAGCTTTCTCTCTGAAAATGTGGATCAAGAAGATCTTTGTTTATATCTAGTCTGCAATTCTCTTAAGTGAAACTGTTGATGATCCTCTTTGACTAGGATGTAAATGTAGACAAAAAGAATAAATCATCCTCTTATCTATAATGTCCATCTTTAATGCCACACACCAAACAGTCTTGTCCACATTGTATAAAAATCAAGGGCAGTAAAGCAGCCTTTTTAGAGCAAGGATAGCTTACACTTCCAGCCAGAGGAAGCTGGCTACGGTTAGGGGAGATAGAAGGAACGTGTGGGTCCTGCTGGTGATCAGCACGTAGGTGACTAATAAACACAGCTCCTGTGGAGTCCTTGGGTCTCATCTCATAATATTCTAATTTGGAAAGGGCTTTAAACAGATCCTGGAAAAAAAACTGCTCATTTTTCTCTCTCAAGTGACACGTAGCAAAGAGATGTCCTCATACAAGGCCAGAGACTTCATAGTAATTACTCATCCTTGATAGCTAGTATTTCCTCCCATATCACTGGATCTCCTTCAATAGCCTTCATCAGACTCTCTAGATAACACAGAAAAGGAACTCAAGGGCCCCACATCACACACCAAAAAACTCCACTCCACAGATTCACCTCACCCGGAGAACCATCCCCACCACACCACCTCTCATTCTGCATTCACTTCAAGATCATTACAGAAACAACAGTTCAGTTTGTGCTCCAGGAGCACTAATTCATCAGAGCTGACACTGTCCAGAAATCCTTTATTTCTGCCTAGCACCTAGAAGTCAACTTCTCGCCACCCCTGCAAACAGCATATATAGCTATTTTTCTCTGGATCAAATATTGTATGTTGTGATCCTCTTAACTTTATGTCCACAGGTCATTTTAAATGGTGAAATTGAGGCCTTCTGTGGAGGTGCCATCATTAATGAAAAGTGGATTGTAACTGCTGCCCACTGCCTTAAACCTGGTGATAAAATTGAGGTTGTTGCTGGTAAGTAAACAAAATAGATAATCCTTGGCAACATTAGTGCATGACGGACATATTGTATTGTACAAATGTCCAACAGGATTGTTACTGAGTAAACTGAGCAAATGGGAGAGAGGCCATAATTCCAAACCCTAACTTATTCCACCTTCCAAGCTCCATAATCCTTTTTGTGAACCCATAAAGCACTGCAAGCATAATAAAATTATTTATTAATTATCAGCCTCCCCACCCACTATATTAGATCATTGAGACTTGGTTGCTAGTGATCAGGGTTAGGGTTAGGGTTAGGGTTAGGGTTAGGGTTAGGGTTAGGGT